GACCAACATAGCAAGGAACTGAGGTCTGGACAAGCCTTACATCTGGCTTAATAAAAAAAAATGCAAGGATCATGAATCCTGTTACTCCCCGTGTGTTTAATAATGTGCCTCTTCTGTCACATTAAAATTTACAGTTCAGTAGTTACTTTTACAATGCTTCTTTTTGGCAGGGAGGGGGAGAGGAGAAGCACTTCTACAGCCCTGGAGTTATAAGAAATGTGCCCCCTCCCCCAGTTCAATGGATAGCAATGAGAGGAAAACCTGTCAATGGGTTGCTAGAACGATCAAGTATTGTATCTTCAAATTCCACCCCTGCAGTTAATAGGATAGCACAGCGGCAAGAAGAAAGCAGAGCAACATCTCCCTGATGCCCAAAATGACTTCGTCCAGAGGGCATTCTAAACCTATATGCCATCCAAAATGATACCATTCAGGATTTTCTTGCTTCCTTCCATATCAATGGGGTTGAGAAATTTTAAGGGAGGGAAAGCCGCAAATGATTGGGAAAGGAGAGAACGAATGAGACCAGAAGGCGCTTCCTACTGGTTTCCTTCCAGAGGAAAGCAAGACCAGGTAAGGAGAGGACCTCTGGAATTTCTCACAGCTCAGAGAATTGGGATGAGCCTATTAGTCAATATATAATGCACAGGTGATCCCATAGAAGCAGGCCTTTCTGTGCATTCCCTTTATTTAGTTGGTTAAATCAATAGGGATACCAGATTCGTTTGAAGAGTCAAAGTAAAGGGAAGGAGAAAGACAATTCAAAAGGAAACCGACTAACCTCATTCAGCCACAGAACAGGAAAGACAAAGCTATCATTAACCTTTTTTAGTGGCCTGCAGGAAAAAAAATAAAAATAAAAACAAAAGCACAACATTAGAATAGCTCAGTTCTGTCCAACTATCTTCTGAGAATGCAAGAAATGGGTACCATGTTTTTGAGTTTTGTACTAGTTTTCTCAAAGCCTGATGGAAATTACCTTGTGGAGGAGTGCATGTTTCTACCTGGTTTTTCCTCCAAGCCCATCCTGATTAGAAATGTCAACATTAATTTAGATCATCTTTGAGCTAAAAGCTGGTGGCATCTTCAAAACATACAAAATACAGGAAGGATGGCTGACTTTTTGGTGGCTGAGCACAAATATTTTTGGAAGGGGAATGAGGTCAGCAAAGCAGATAAGGACTTATCTCAAATGTGGATAGCAATGACTCATGGAAGGGAGACTGGTTGATTTCTTGTTTTTTCCATTGCTCCATTCTCTGTTACACACAACAGATTTCACTCAAATCAAATCAAATCTTTATTACGGTCAAAGTCCAGCATAAGGAGGGTGGGATACAGATTTCACTTGTTTCCCATCTCAAAATAGAGGGATTTTTCAGAAGAGGCTTCACAGACTACAGAGAGAGAAAGAGAGAGA